TAATTTTTGTACTTGTATTTGGGGTATTTTTCCATTGTAAATATATTGTTTTTGAATATGGTATAAGTGCTTTGGGTCCCCCATGGGGGGAAAGCAGGATATTAAATAATTTTTTTTTTTTTGCAGGTAGCTCATTGTATACCCTCAGATTTACTTTCCGAAAATCAGTATTATAGTTGGGACAATTTATATGAGGGCTTTCATCACTCTATTTTAAAAAAAACTCAGAAGGATGCAACTACCAGCGTGGATTTAATTTTCTAGATTTCAGTTTGTGTAAAGCATATCTCTTGACTTGTACAAACACAGCCTAAATCAGATTCTTCTTGGATGATCTTGGAGTGCACACACTGCACACTTATAGCAGTTTGATCCACCTTAACTGCCATGGCTCTGTCCTACAGAGGTATTTAGAATCCCTAGTGTACTCTCCACAATGACAGCATCAGTGCTCTTTGTCAGATAATTCAAAGTACCCCACCAAATGGCAAATCCCAAGATTCCAGAGGAAGGAGCCATAGCAGATAAAGTGGTATCAAACTGCTATAATTATATTGTGGGGAGACACTATTGGAATCAATTTACTTGGAACATCCTTTCGGATGCCCTGCTTGTGGTTCTCTTCATTAAAAGAAGAAAGTGAGAGAAATCTCTGATGCCAAGGTGAGTGGGCATACAGTTTCATCAATTACGATTTCATCTCTATGACCATGCTAAACTAACCTTATAGTTTAATTTTAAGACTGAAACAACTCTTTCAATGGAAACATTGATTGACTGTAAGACTGATATTTTGGATGAAGTGTTGGATCAGACCAAAACATTTTTAAAACTTTAATTCTGCAGTCTACTTCTCAGTCACCTGCAGATGTACTATGGCAATATTTATATTTCCAACCCTTTTTGATATTTATATATAGGCCATCAGGTCTGAGTGCCTCAGCCACTCCTGCTGTGTTGGAAATCATATCTTTATAAAAACTGAAACCAACTGATCTAATTTATGAATGTTTTTGGTAAAGCACTAAGTTTGATGTTAATTAAGTTATGGCTGAATGGGTCTAATAATTAGATTGTCCTGTGCAAATTAATCAATGTGAAACTGCTATAGTTTCAATATCTAAAGTTTCTTTAGACCTTTTGTACAGAAAAAAATTTTTTTTAGATATACTGGACACCAGTATGCCTTTTAAAGAAATAAATTGTCTATACCAACTAAATATTGGCGATGTAATGCCAATAATGCTTCCTTAGGCAATATAATCTTTGGTGTTTATAGACAGAGATGTTCTTTTAAATTCTATTCCTGAAATATGGAATGTAATTTAGGGTTAACGTTGTTGGATCCTGCATGTTTTTACTATTGCAGAAAAGGCTTATATCCCAAGACTGGAAAGATAAATACAGTGGGCCCCTGGTATCTGCTGAGGTTTAGTTCCAAGTCCCCACTTGGATACCAAAAGCCGTGGATGCTCAATTATATACAACGGTGTAGTAAAATGGTATTCCTTATATAAAATGGCAAAATTAAGGTTTCCTTTTTTGGAATATATATATATATATATATATATATATATATATATATATATATGCACACACAAGCCATGGCTAGTTGAATCTGTGAATGCAGAATCCTTGGATATGGAGGCTGGCTGTACTGACCATCAATTGTTCAATGGTCAAAAGATCTTATTGTTTTAGCTACACGTGAATATGTACTTTACAGACATCAGCTACAAGACAATGTATTTTGGTCAGCTTATACAGTATCAGCCTACATCAGTGTATAGCCTAATTCCTGTAACCTATGTATACCCTATGTGCTTTCCTCTCTTCCTTTTTAATTTTTTTCATTCTAAATCTTTTTTTGCTTTTCCTTATAAAAGATTCAAAGGCAAAGCAGCACCACTTGCTGCTGCTGCTGCTACCCTTAACACACACTGAGCAGCTTGTTTGCCTATTTGACTTAAAATTAGTTCCATAAACTTGCAATTTTAATTTGATCAAATGAAAATACTGACAGTATAATAAGTAGGAGAGGAAAAAAATATATTCCCCTCTCCTTTTATTCATCTATAGGGGAAAAAAAGGAATACTAAAGGGAAAGAAAGGTGCTACTCACATGGGCATGTAACACTTAGGCACCAGGCAAAATAAGATGTATCTGCAGATATGCTTAGTGAGTCATTGCACAAGATGTAAAGCAGGGTAGGCAACCTTTTTGAGCCGGGGGCCGGTCCCCCAAAGCCGTCCCTTCCGCTGGGCCGGGGGGGGGAGTGGCTGCGCGTGCACTCACATGCGAGCACACAACCCCCACTACCGCGCGCAACCCCCTTGGCCGCTGCCACTGCCACCGACGCCGCATGTCGCGGCTGCCATTTTATTCTCCAAAATGGTGGCCATGACGTGTTTGCGCATGCGCAGTACTCCTGCGCATGCACAAACGCATCACAAGCGCCATTTTGGAAATCAAAATGGCGGTTGTGGTGCGCGTGGCCACACAGCGACCAAAACGCGTGGCGGCGGTGGCAAGTGGTGATGGCAGGGGTCCACCTGGGGCGGTAAGCGTGGAGCCCTGGGCCGGAACCGGCCCACGGGCTGTAGGTTGCTGGCCCCTGATGTAGAGAGACTGGCAATAAATAGATTGTCTTTCATTTCAGGAGTGCTCTCATTTGGTCTGGTGCTTGGTGGCAAATGGCTTCTAAGAGCCATCCTCAGAGACAACAGCCAGGATTGTTTAAGGCGGGATAGCCATTTTCACACAAAACTCACCCAGCCATTTTTGGAAACTGGAAAGGATGTTCTGTCACTTTCAGTTAATGTTTTAGCAGGTTTTGATTGTTTCAAAGTATCCCCCCAAACAACAATTCAGCATTTTCCAACTGAAAATGGCATTTTTATGGGAAATGGGAGGTTCAAGGGAATTGGGGTAGGGGAAAAAGGCTTTTTGGAGCCCCTGCTGCCACTAGATGTATGCAGCTTATGGTCCATGCAATTCCCACCTTTTGTCTGGTTCATGGATTGATGGAAGCCTGTCTGTGAACCAAACACAAACCACTTGGACCATCATAATGAAAAAAAAGCAGAATGTTAATGAAGATTATGATGCTAAATTTGTATAAGCCATATGCCTTCATTAGGGCAGGGTTAGGGTGATTTTAGCATTCCAGATGTTTTGGCATACAGCTTGTCAGAACCAACACAAATGGTCATTGGTGGAGATTGTAATCCAAAGCATCTGGAAAGTCAAAATGTCCCTGCTCTTTATTAAGCACTGGGTTGCCAGGCTGAAAACTGGAGATCCTCTACCTTTAACAGTTGTGTACAATAGGGTATTTCAACAGGTGCTGCTTGTTACACAAGCAGGTAAAAAGAAAGACCTCTGAAATTTCCTGTACACACAACCATTAAACTGGAGCCCTGTTCCGATTTCACTCTGGCAGTCCTATTTTGCACAGAGCTTCTTTAGCTGTTAAGCATTCTTTACATGGAAAGTATTTTAGTTTTGTGGGAAAACAGTACATCTGGGTGTACATGTGTACATCTTCAGATGCTATAGACCTCCAGCTCCCAACCAGCCCCATACTCCCATCAGCCCCTGGTAAGTTAACATGGGAACTGAAATCCCAAACATTTGAAAAGCAGAAATTAGCAAAGTATGGCTCTTGATCTCTCAGACTGCCCTTTTTCTAGGCTAACTTGTTTCTTCTGGAAGCTTCTAGGAGTGATGGCTCACCTTTTTGAATAGGTAGTAGGAAGGTCTTGCATTTTCCACTTACCTATTTTCCAAAAGCAGTAGATTTCTATCCAATTCTGGTTTGTATGTTTGGGTCTTTTTGGCAGTTTTTGCAGCCTCCAGTGGGTTCCAGAGAGAGAAAATGGACTTTTGGGCACAGCATAATTGCTCACCCTTGGGTTAAAGGTTAAAGGTTTCCCACCATTAACAAAGATTGTTTGAAGAAAACTGTTTATTAGTAGTATGCTGTTATCAGAGTTCCAGCCTTGGTGTACACAGAATATGATTATCTTTGTAGATAAGGTTCACAGAATACTACTCTTATTCTGGATCCTTAATGTTTGTGGTTCCTAATAGAATCATGGGAAGTAAATCTCCTGTAGTGCAGACAGAAGATAGCTGTTGGAAGATGAGAGCTTCACATCACCTGTGCACTTACACAACTCAGAAGAAAAAGAAGGCATGGTACTTTAAGAAAGATTTCAGAAGACAGCTATCTTGGTATCTAGAGAGACTGACACAACCTGTTAGGCCCCTCAGTCCCACCACAATAATTACAAACTTCTTTGTAGTCATGAATGGAAATTAATCCAATCTGATTAGTGTTGTTTCAGGGATGTATCAGAGTACTCAGGTAGTGTCGTGAAAAGTTGACACTAAAGCTTAAAAACATTTGTGTTCCAGTATCCTGGTTTCTGTTTTAATTGGAGAGAAAGATCAGAGCTTCAACACATTTCCTTTTGTTGGACAACAATACCCATAATCCTCCTACCCAGCAATCTGGAAGTTGTAATCCTAAAAAGGAATTTATCCAAGCTCTAGGGCAAATAAACAGTGAGTTCTGAGAAGAGGATGGACCACTGAGAACATTTCACCCAAGAGTATCCTAAAAACCATACACAGTATAGCCACAAATTCTCCTCTACCCCTCTGCCACAAATTCCCTTTTCATAAGCAGAATATAGCTCCAAAAGTGCCTCTCCCTGTGAGTTTCTTTGTGGTGCCTGGCTATTGGCAACAGAACAGAACAAAAGTTGGAAACCTGTGTCTCATGTGGTTGGACTCCACTTCCCCTCATCCCCACCTAGCATGGCTATGGTCTGGATGACTGGTGTTTTTGGTACCCACAACTTCAGGGCTTGGTGAAGATATTTTTGCTACCTGATGAAAAGGACAAGATGACACTTCTGATTCCATCTACAGATGCTGACTGTACTGTCAACTGTATCTTACTTCAACTAGGTAGATCTTCTAACACATCTGAGCCAGCGTGGCGTAGTGGTTTGAGTGTTGGACTACAACTCTGGAGACCAGGGTTTGATTCTCTACTCGCCATGAAACCCACAGCCTCAGGGGAAGGACAATGACAAACCTCCTCTGAACAAATCTTTCCAAGAAAACCAAACAACAGGTTTGCCTTAGCGTCACTATAATTCGGAAACAACGTGAAGGCACACAACAACATACAACACCTCTGTAAGGTCAACAGGATAGTTTGGGAGAGCAGATAGTCTGACTGGCTCAAGAGGAACAGTTGAAGACTCTCATTCCTGCCCTTGGCATCTGCCACCTAAGGCAGTTGCATCACTCCACCTAATAGTAGGGCTGGCTCTGAACAGCATCTTGCAATAGAAAACATGTCATAAATTGCCATCTTATGTTCTTTGTGTTGATTTAAGAGTTAAAGCATATTAGAGCCTATTAGGTAAAAGATATTTCTGTGTATAGAGACCAAGATTAAGAAGTGCAGGATGAAGTTCTGCCAGCCAGCTAAAAGTAAACAAAGGCACTGAGAGTCTGTACACTGAAAAATACAACTAGGCAAGACAGAACAAAAAGCTTTTCCATATAGGAAAACCTAAGGCAGAGAGCCAAATCAAGAGTTTGTAGCTTCTATTGCCAAGCCCTTTTTAGGCCACTGATGTGATTGGACCAAGATAAGACAAACAAAGGCCTACGAGGGCTGTCAAAGCAGAAAAATCCTCACAGTAAGACACTAGTTCATAGTATGTCCAGCATTTCTGCTGCTGTGTGCATAAGAACATAATTGGATAACCCCAAAACACTTAGATCAAGGAGACTAAGCGTGCATCTACACTGTACAAAAAATGCAGTTTGACACCACTTTAAGTGCTGTAGCTCCATCCTATGGAATCCTGGGATCTGTAGTTTTACAAGGTCTGTAGCCTTCTCTGCCAAAGAGTGCTGGTACCTCACAAAACCACAATCCCAGGATTCTGTAGGATGGAGCCATGGCAGTCAAAATGATGTCAAGTGGCATTATTTCTACAATGTAGATGCACCCATAGCCTAACTTTATACTCATAGATTTACAGATGTGCTACATTGCCCAGTTGTGGAATTGCAATGTTGCATGGCCAATGTACAACATGCAATGCACAATGGCATGACTGGCATAAAGTTGTTCTCATATGCTTCAACTAAATACAGCTGTTATGCATCAGCCAAAAATGTCTGCCCAGCTTACATATGTGCAAAACAGCAGCAGAACACCAACCTCAAAGTGGTAGGAAGCATTTGTTTTTCAGTACATTTAATGCACTGATACCCTGATAGATGCTGGTACCCAAACAGAGTAAGAAATAAACTCTGGGAGAAAATGTGTAGCTATGCTGAGTTCAAGCAATGTGTTCTTAGGGTGTGTTATACCAGAAATATCTGGACCACAGATTCTTTATGGGTATTGTAATGCATTGCTCTGCTTATGTAAAATGTACCTAGACTATGTAATGTCAATGTTTAGATAAGCTGTGCCTCTGAGGTGTATGTACCTAAGCCTATTAAACATGCATGAGAAATAAACAATAATTGTACAGCCGCAAACTATTCTCCTACAGTAAATTTCCTGAGAGCCCAGAGCTTAAGATATCCTTAAGAGGAATACTGATGTTGATCTAACTACTGAATAACAACTGTGATTGCGACCTTGGAAGCCCAAGTGGCCAAAACAATGAAATCCAGAGCAATCTGGTTAGATATAGATCTTCAGCCTTCCACAAGATATAGAGGTGGAGGGTCCATGAGAGCCACAGCTTAAGTTCCCATATCAGCCTTCTACTTCTACCACAACATCATATCCATTCCTTAAAACTGACAATTTTGAAGATTTGGGTCAAAAATATCTGCACAGCCTGGTCTAGCCCCTATATTGTACATTCTAATTCCTTTTATCATGTGTGTATTTTACAGAATATAGTGTGATAGATATTATATGCAACAAAATTAAGTCTGTGGATATTGCATATTAATTGTACTTGTATACAAGCCAACCTCATGGATAAGTCAAGGGTACAGTTTAGAGGTATGTAACAAAGGATGTAAATGACAAAGTCCAAAAACACATGTGTGCACCCTCTCCTTCCAAAGGCACCCGGTTTTTTCCCTGCTTCCTGGGAAATCAGGGACACATGCATGCACATGCACACACACACACACACCTGCCTTGCAAAGGCACCCGGTTTTTTCCGTGTTTGCTGGGAAGGCAGGAACACTCACACAAACTTCTTGGCTGAGCTGCAGCTGCTGGTAAGGAGAATGGGGTATTGGGCAGTACTTCTTTCTGAGCAGTATTACCATATTGCCTATATTTAAGTCAACCCAGGATTCTAGGTTATCTTTTTTTTTTTTTTTTGCATAATTTTTTCAACTTACAGACGAGTATATACAGTAATATTAAATTAAATATTGACAGATATCTCAGCCAATAGATTACAAAAAAATCATTTCAACTTTGGTTAAACCAGATCAGATGGGATTTAGTAAAAATATGTAGGCAAGTGATAAACATTGGGGTTGCATCTGCACTGCAGAAATAATCCAATATGACACCACTTTAACTGCTGTGGGCCAATGATATTTGATTCTGGGAATTGTAGTTTGTTGTGGCAACAGAGCAGATATTAGTAAAATATTGAGGTATTCGATTAACTGGTCTTTTAAAAATGGCGGTTTTGGTACTGTTCAAGTTCTTCACCTACTTGGGTATAATTATTTCCAGAGATATACCCAGATTATTAAACTGAACATAACCAGTGTGGTGTAGTGGTTTGAGCATTGGACTAGAACTCGAGACAAAGGTTGGCATCCCAACTCAGCCACGTAAACCCACTGGGTGACCTTGGGCAAGTCACACACTCTCAGCCTCAAAGGATGACAATGGCAACCCCTCTCTGAAGAAACATGCCAAGAAAACCCCATGCTAGGTTTGCCTTAGGGTCTCCATAAATTGGAAATTTATGGAGACTCATATTCATATGGAAATTCAGTTGTGCTCCTGATTCATTTCCTAACTGAAGTAAGCATAGTCTGGGAGTGTAAATAAGGCACACAACAACAACTGCAACAACCACCAAGTTATATAAAATATATTACACAAGAGCTAGACAGATGGGTGGGTTTACCACCATCCTCTTCCACATTAGCCTAGGAGTTGTGCTCCTGATTCATTTCCTAACTGAAGTAAGCATAGTCTGGGAGTGTAAATAAGATTAAAATGAATACTGTAATAATCTCTTTGGCAATGAGGTATGGAAGAAGAGGGCAAAAGTGCCACAGAGTGATGGGATTTTCCTAGAATGTCTCTGTCTGGGGCTTCAAACTATTTATCATCTCCTTGATCTGTTACTTAAGCTTCAGATGCAATTTAATCAAAAGCAGCAAGATAAAAAAAAAACCTATTTTCCTCTATGAGGACTAATCAGTTGAGAAGGCCATTGCACACACTATGCAAACATGCACAATCTTTGTATAAGTAACCTATAAAATTATCACCAGGATGAGTACTAAAGATTAATCTCTTTCTGATTTCTGCCCTAATGGAAAGCAAGCAAACATTTGTTTAAGAATCCTTGTCCACTTCAATGGCATTAAACTAACCAGAGCTGAAGCCACACAGATTTCAGAGACCGAGACACATTGACATGGAATAAATTGTCCACAAACGTGCTCTGGCTCCATTCTGTGAGGAAAACTAGTGTTAATTTCTTCTCTGTAGACCCTGATTGGATCAGAAATGTAATTTACTTTGTTATTAGGATTAATTGACTCTCTCTTTCCCTTCAAGTCTATAAAAATGAGGCAAAGGACACAAGATTGAAGCCTTCCTTTTGCAGTAGGTATCTGCACCAAGGTGATCAGGTGCATTTATGTACTCTGCCCTTGATGTGTTATTACATTGACTTTCTTTGTCTAGAAATTTTTACCTTCAGCCATATAAACAAATAATACTTGTGCTTAACAAGTACATTCATTAAAATTTCTACTTCTTCCCCTATGCATGTAGAGCCTGAAGCAACAAGGACTCTTGATGATATATTATTAATTATGGCTTTGTTACAGTGACCTTTACAGTTGGTCCATTGTAATCACTGGGACTTAAGATAGCTTAAGTCCCATTGATTTCAGTGGGCCTTTTCTAAGCATGACTAAACATGGATTGAGACCATGTCTTGATGCAGAACTGGATGTAGTTCCAGGCCTCCCCAGGAGTTCTTCCACTGTCGAACAATGACAGATGGTACTACAATGTGTGTATATGCCTTCAAGTTGCTTGTTGACATATGTTGACCCCATGGATTCCATAGGGTTTTCTTAACCAAGAAATACTCAGAGGTGGTTTCACCAGTTTCTTCCTCTGAAATATAGCCTACTATTGATTGGCAGTCTCCCACCCAAGTACTGACTATGCTTAGCTTCTAAGATCAGACAGGATCTGGTGCCTTTGAGGTATTTAAGCCCCAATACCACCATCAATAAAGTTTATGTTACTATTATAGCATGCCTAAATGGCAAAACCACCAACAAACTGCAGTTGTGTCCCATGGTATGCTGACATTTTGAGGGTTGACTCTGTCTCTCTATAACAGTAAACTTCAGTCAAATCCCACCACTTTGGATGGAACAGATCCAATGGTGGCAGTCCTAAAAGTACCACTTATCTATTGGGTAGAGTCCAATGAATACATTGATTGCTCCATTTGGGCCCCACTTATGCAGTATAATGGCTCCAACTCACCAGATCTATGTTCAAACATGAATTCTCCCATTGGCCAATCACACTGATCAGCAGCGCAGAAAGGAGTGAGGTTGCACTCCTGCCAGAGTTTGGAATGTTGGTTTGTTGTTGTGTGCCTTCAACTTGTTTCCGACCTATGGTGACCCTAAGGCGAACTGATTTTCTTGACAAGATTTCTTCAGAGAGGGTTTGCTTTTGCCTTTCTCTGAGGCTGAGAGAATGTGACTTGTCCAAGTTCACCCAGTGGGTTTCCATGGCCTAGCAGGGATTTGAACCCTGATCTCCAGTCATAATCCAATGC